TGCTAAGAGTACTGTATATTCTGTGACGGCAGGAAGACAAGCTTGGTTAAAACACACAAAAGCACATCTAGAGTTACACCACAGAAGTTTTCATTCATAACCAGATAGTGCAGGAAATCTTTTTATGTATATAGATAGAAAAAGAGTCAAAGCAACATTCCATTTTTGTTGTTATTAGTTTTGTTTGGTTTTTTTTTTTTGTCAGTTTTTCCTTTTTCTTTAGATGTTAAAAATGCCAACAGCATTTAGGGGCTGCTTGTGTCTAGATGAAAAGAAACTTAAAAAAAAAAAAATCAAAAATAAATTAGAAAATATCAGCACAATATATTGCAAGTTTGAAACAAATTTCTAAAAATGACTGGATTGCAGCCTTTTGATGGTCACATACATCTTTAAAACATCAAGTCCTTTGAACAAGCAGGTTTACCTAGACGACAGTTAAATAAAAAGGTCCTGATATCAACCTTTTACACAAGCACTGACTCCAGGTCAGCATTAAAGCAAAGCAAAAATAAAACATAATTAATAATAATAATAATAAAAAAAAATCTAATCAAATCAAATATCCTCCTCTGTCATAAAAAGGAGGCCTTTGTTAGGAAAAACCAAAGGCAAGCCGCTCTTATTTGATCCCAACAATCATAAAGAGTAATACTAAGATTCCACATGTACTGTACTATGCATCCCATTATATTTTGGTTTCTTCTCGTTGTTTATCCTCTAAAAATATCTACATTATTTGACAATATAGCAGGCAAGTTTCAGCACATGGTTTTTCCCGTAATAACACAGCAACAAAATTCTGAGCTCACCTCCTCTAAGAAACCAGGAAATTCATCTCTACGAGGTTGTAAACAATTACATTCTGTTTAAGACATAAATAAGTCAAAGTAATTTAAGCCATTGAAGCGGAAACAAGGCAACATGCCAACAAACAAAGATAAACTCTCTCTAAATAGATTTTATGAATTTATATGTATAGAATATATCCCACAAATGCTATCATCATCATATTATTATTAATATTTTGCATTTCTCTTTTTCATCAGGTGCAAAACTACTGTGCAAGTTCAGCCCTACCACCTCGATACACATTTCTGCTTATGGATTATGTCATTTAAAAAAAAAAAAAATAAAAAATTTAAGAGTCCGGTACATGTTCATGCCACACAGAGGAGGGAGGGAGGACTCAGAGAAGCTTTCTTTACATGTGTAGTCCGCTGCGATGCTCAGCCCATCGGAACCAAACAACTCCGATAAAATGAAAACCCTTTTTAAATAAAACTTGGGTAATGTACATTCATGCAGGATCAATAAGAATAATAACAAGAATAATCAGACTCAGAATAATAACAACGGTTTTTAATTTAATTTAAACTATTACTGTATCTCTGTTAACAATGTTATTATTGAAGAGAAGGAGTTTAAGGAGAGTATAAAGTCTGTTTGCACTCTGCACTCCTCGGCAGTCTCCCTCCTCCTCGTCCTCCCCCAGGTGTCGCTGCGGACACAGTTCATACGCAACGTGCAGTCAGCTGCACGTTTATACAGTACATGCTAACCGGTACAAGCATAGTGTCATACACACCATCAAGGCTGCCACCATACACATGCAACCACAAAAGCAGGATGGCTGTGTAGGTCGTGTAGCTTTGCGGAGCTTTTTGGATTGTGTTTTTCTTTTTATTCTTGTCATTTCACAAAGATTCGCCCGATGTTGAACGGAGGCGAGAGCATTATTGGCTTTAGCTTACAAGGGGGGGGGGGGGGGGGGGGGGGGGGGGTGGCCAAATGCGGTTTCGGGGGGGAAACACCGGCGGTGGGGGGGGG